CTCACAGTGGCTGCTCCTCAAACTCTCTCACTGTTCTCACTCCCCAATCCCAACGTGTCGGCCACCGTCGAAGCGAAATTAGGTTAGTTTTTTTTCTTTTAGTTTTTCTCTTTTTTTTCTTTTCTTCTTTTTTTCTTTTTGAAAATAATTTATATGATTACATATTTACATCATGTAAGAGACTGTTTCTTTTTTCATATTAGACTCTTTGAGGGTGAGGAAATTCCACTTCAGTTGGATGACAATGATGATGAGGATGATTAGACACTGTTATTCTGCTACTTGCTTATTTTGTTTCGTAGACTTTTGCTCATGTTGAATATTATCTTGTATTGTGATTTGTGGAAATTTATGAACTTCTCTATGTTATGCATGCTAATTAAGATTCTTTTGTGATATAGTAGGTGAAATTATATTTCTTAGTCTTTTTATGTGTTAATTTATAAACATGTTGCTTATATGCTTCTTTGTCTTATGTTAGAAAATATTAGTTTGAGTTATGCGTCTCAATTCAGTGAGACGCACGCATCATTGTGCACCTTGCGCATGATGCGCGTAAGGACCTTTTGCGCCCCACATTGCGCCTTGCGCCTCGATAACACTGCTCATCACATTCCCCTACAAAATCTTCAGGTGGCACAATCTATGTCATGTGAAGGAGGACTCATGCATTGCCCCTGTCTGGATCTCTCTTCCGAGGCTTTCTCTTCAATGTTTCATCCTAGAGTTCTTAGAAGCAGTGGCCAACAAAATTGGCCGATTTCTTTGCCTTGACAAGGCTACGGCCACCCTCGCTCGTACCAGTGTAGCGAGAATTTGTGTTGAAATTGATCTTAGGAAGCCTCCGCCCCAATCTATTTGGGTAGGCCTTTTTGAAGGGTTTAAGCAACCCATTGTGTATGAAAAGTTGCCAAAGTACTGTAATGAGTGCCATATCCAAGGCCACACATCTGTAGAGTGCTCCAAGAATCACTTGGACAACCCCAAGCTCTAAGAGGAGGGTCAACCATCAGTGATGAACAGGAGCACGCCACATGTTCGTCAAAATACCGCAGGCCAATTCTCGGCCACAACATATAGCCAGAACCCCACCAACAACCCCGTTTCCATTCTTTCGCTAACACCCTCCCTCCATCCCATTTCGGCCCCTTCTGAAAGCTAAAAAATCCGCAATCAGCACCCCCGACTCCCATGATACTGAGAATCCTCATCAACATGCTACTTCCATTCCTCCACAAACCAATCAAACCATCACCTCTCCCGTATTTGACCAGGTCTCCACTGAGTTTCAACCTAATACAACCCATAAATCAACTCCAGCTCCCCCCACTCGCACCAACAACAAGCATAAGCGCAAATCCGTTGCATTTCAGCTGCCACCCCCTCAAGTCCAACCCAATGTGGAAGCTAACCAAGCCTTCTGGGATGCGGTGAACCGTCAAGTGACCATCATCGAGCAAGCTCGCCTCAAGTCCTTGACAACACAATCCTCCACTCCTAATACCCAACCCCACAGCGCCGCAGAAGGCTCCATCCTCAATCTCGAGCACAA